TATGGCTCCTTTAACACAACGAGCTCAAAATAGCAGTACGAAAGTTGAAACTGAAATGGTGCAGACTGCGACACCTTATGCCTTTCATCAGTAACGGTATAATCCGAGTGGGCGAAAGACTGAATCAACTCTACATGCCGTTCGAAGCCAGACATCAGATTTTACTTTCAGGTCGCTATTTGTCACTCGTCTTCTTATACTCCATTATCATTACGCCCAAGGACACCCTGGAGTTCAGGTTACACTGTACGATAGTCAACAAGGTTATTGGATCGTGGGAGAAGTTTTCGCCGTGAGCCGTGCCGTTCACCTGTGCTAGATGCCGTATAAACCATGCAAAACTATTGAGTCAGTTGATGGCGCTGAGTATAGTCGATCAGTGTCTGACCTTCCGTCCAGCATTTACTGCTGTATAGGTTGATTACTTTGGACCGTGTGCATGAAAAGATATATGGATGTCTATTCAGCTGCTTGACTATATTGAGGTTTCTCATTCCATGGAAACCGATCCCATTTTGTGTGCATTTTCGAGATTTTCGGCTAGACGCGGTTGGCCGAATGTCATATACAGCGACAATGGACAAAATTACTGCAGGACTAAAGCTGAATTACTCGGTCTCCTAAGGATTTTTGATAAGGGGAAGATAACGAAATCCATGCTGTCATGGGGGATTGATTAGAAGTACGAACGAATCGGTTTATAACAATTTGCCTAACGAAACGAACTGGCAAGCTGGAGATTTGCGCGAAGTTGCGGGACAAAATACGGAATTAGCTCTACCAGACGGCAGGGTAGTCTTCGGCACAAGGACCATGTCCGTCCCCATTCCGTCTCGGTTCCGCCAGCCAACGCATCGACAAGCCCGATCAATGAGCTGGAAGACGTGTAGGATACCAATCAATTGGAGCTTCCGCAATGTCGCCTCTCAGGCCGAGTATGCCGACACGAGGCCAGCTGAGGTAGTTCCAACTAAAGGGAGGAGAAATGTGGCATTTGCGCAAGCTGAGTTCACTTGTCTGCTTCATCTCGCCAAGGCAGTGTCAGTCAAACGCCAAGCTAGCCATCGACTAAACTGTGTTCCTATTGGCTGGATCCATCAGCGGCACTGTGTCCATTAACGCCAAGCTAACCATTGATTAGACTGTCTTAACTTATGCGAAGCGTGGTGTCTATGACGAGACATAATACAATCTGTGTGCTTCCGAAACTGACGTGTTCTGCTGTCGTGCGCTACGGGCAGAATACTGCGTTCTACTAAGAGTCGTGGTTAAATACGGGCCGAGTTGTAAAAACCGTCCTCGTGGAGATCTTTCGGAAGGGATAATTCGATCGGCACGTGAATGGTTGCGCAACATTCTCAACGGCGAGATTGTAAAAAAAGAAGTGCTAATGACGATACTTGCTGGCGTCGAAAGAATATTGATTGACAGGCCTCTAGAAGGGGTATCTGATGCACCTGATCCCCATGACACCATATCGCCGGAACAACTGTTGACACCGGCGAACGATCAGCCGACGATCCACTTACCGATAAAACTGAGTAGAAGATGGACATAGCTAAGACATCTTTCGGATATGTTTTGGCGTAGATTGATTAGAGTGTATGTACCGAAACTACAGTAGAGACAAAAATGGTTAACTAAAGTTAGAGTTCAGGCAAAGCGATCTAGTTCTAGTTTGTGATTTACGCACCTTATGAGGTCTGTGGCCGAAGACATTAGAGGAAGAAATCGTGAAAGGCATACACCAACTAAGGTTCGAAAGGTACTGGTAAGGACAAGCAAAGGTATCCTGCGAAGGGATGTCAGACAACTCTGTTTGTTAGAAGCATAAGAAGAATAGGATGACGAAGCTGTGGGGTCATCGAAGAGGAGAGAAGACCACCGGGGGAGTGTAAAGTCTAAAGAGAACTTCGAATATTCAGCCAAACTGATGTACCTATTGAGTACATAATATCCCTTTTTCCCAAACACTTCACTTATATCCTTACAGAAATTTATACACGCGTGTATTATGAAACACGTCAGGTTTTCACTTCGCATTATTGGCATATCCTTGACTCCTCAAGGTCAAACGTTTCATCCTTGACAGTCTGCCGATTAGCAAAATGCTACGCTGTGCCGTTTTGCCACGCCGCCTCACGTCTTCCAGTTATTGCCCTTCCCAAGTACCATTGCAAACCTATTCGTAAGTTAAGTACTGTAGCTAATTTGTATTACAGAAACACGGTAACAGGAATTTAGGTTTTCAGTTCTCTGCCCAGACCGTGAGTATAGTCTAGGCTTACTAGCCTACACTTTCTTTGCCCCATCTCGTGCGACCACTTAGTCTATGCTTCTTATAGTCTTTACATGGATGGTGACACAACATGTGACACATCCTGGACATCAGGGAGGATCTCGCACATCGGGCGTGCTATCCAGTACATCGGATCCAATATGAGGATTGAAAACGTTACCGCGGGAATGGTTCGGTATCGTAAGGTTAATGTGAGGTAAACAGAAAGCGAGTTACTGGTTTACCAGAGGAATTAGCGTAAAATTCGGTGGCACATTATCGAACGCTAACTGACGGACTCCACTAACCCACACTCTTAGACAAACGTGTTCAGATACAAGGTCACCTGACGTCTCCGATGCATAATACATCAGCCCCAAATAAACTATAGCATTGGCAGACAGTGACCATTTCATCGCTACTACGGTAAACTAGTAAGGGACTAATAACAGTCCCCCGCTAATAGAACCGGTGGTGAGCCAACTCAACTCATGCTACCTAGTCGGGCATCGCCTGGCTCCGAATTAGCAACAAGAGTTCCATAGATGATCAGCTGCCTGGATACAGCGATGAAGAAACAAGAATCGGGCCACTAACGATCAACCCAGCTGTCCTCGAGTTTGGAGGGATATAAATAGAGTCGTGATTTGGCGAAGAGATAGAGTAGAACGAGTCGAACGATCAGGAAGCAATGATAATTGTGTCCAAATGTAAGTGCAGGACGTTGCGCACTCCTGAGGTAGGCTGATTATGCATTATGAATTGAAAGTCGGCCTCCGTTTAACGAATCCGTCCGCAGGGATGTCACAAGTGATTTCTCTTCAGCCAAAAGTGCGGAGGGAGTCCAGCGGATTTGGGTAAAAGTGCCTGTGACAGACATTTCCAAAAGCACGAAGACGTAAAAAATACACCCGGAACTGACGCACTCACGGACAAGATAATATAATGTATAAATTGAAACGGAAACACTAGACTGAATGAGCAAACTGGTAAGGCTAAGAAAAAGCCAATGTTTCACAAAGTAAAATATAACCATAGGAGGTGCCGTAAGGATTATGACACATCGACTCGGTCCACATGAGGTAATTAGTTTCCTGAATGACAGACAAATGACTACTACGTTACGTAGAGGTGACACACGAAGCACTTATATCCAGACGAAGCAGCCCCATGAGAGCTTTTAGTTGACGAGCTTTAAGTGAAAGTGCCATGCAATACACTTGAAAAAATAACACAGCGGTTCGTGCTTGTGGAAGGCAATGGTACAGAAGAAAGAAATATAAGAATGGGATCACCAGTGCAGCTGATGTCGCAATCCTGAGGCAGCAAATGGCATATGTGATGCGGGCCTACATTCAAAAAATGAGAAACCGCTCGTGCGGAGTTAATTAACAGGGCCATGCCTGCGTCCGCAGGCTTGCATTCAAAATGGGTGCAAAATAGACATTAATGTACCGAACAAGTCAGTATAGGAACACATTCGCAGGCGAGCCGCATAACGAGATTTGTCTCACCAAATGGTGGATTACAGTACACAGAAAGCGAGCTCGAGTAAAATGGACGGAAGAAAGACAAAGGAGAGCTCGAAGTGGAAAATGATTCGCAAACCTCTCACATCGGTAGCTGCTTGGAGCATCCAATGTGGGCTAGCACGATGCGGATGCGTAATAAATTCGTATTATATGTTGGACCACAGGAGTCGTGTGCATCCGCATTTGGTGGTAACCCAACATACAGCAAGGTAAAAGAGTTTTGGTGCTGACACGTGTAGTCAACTCGACGTACGCTTTTGTACCCAAATCAACACACCTTTAGCATTGTACATTAGCAAATGTAAATTTACTGAATTGGCATCATCAAAAATGCAAAAGTTTACAAAGGATTAGACAAAAAGAAGAGTGCACTGACATTATTTGAAACGAGCGCATAACGCTGAACTGAATCATCGGAATTTATATTGAATCAGAGTTGTATCAAAACGTCTCTTCATAACTCATTACAGTTGACGTAAAATGGTGTGTCAAAAGATAATAAATCGGAGATGGTGCACGATAACTCGGCTTTTGTATCTAAAAGTGGATGAAGTAGATTGGTCTCGGTGACTGAAAAATTGTTTGAACAAAACATTCGTCAGCTTATTCCTGCAAAACTGAAATATCTACAGTAGGCCATGTAAAAGTGATGTTTGGCGAAAAAGGTAAAGGCTGATTTAAAGGCCCCACCAAGCAAACGAGGAAAACATATTGGCCTCATGAGTAGTCCATCAATGGTTCGTGTTATGAAAAACTTGCAAAGCATCTTGTAAAAAGGTAGATCCGAAAACGTTCCAAATATTGTGATTGGTAGATGAGGAGTCACAGCATGCTACTCGCATGTAAATGTAGAGATATAACCAATGAATAGGGATAAAGACAAAAGCGAACAGAATCAGTACTCAAATATATGTGGATGACGAAAGGTGCAGGTTAATCGAAGCCTTAGTTCAAAAGTCCAAACGATTCGGAGGGACATACAGGCACCCAAACATATTTCGATCTGCATGATGCATTAGGTGAGCAGTTCAGTAGCAAGTTAGGTTGAAGCATTTGTATACTGGGATAGTGCCAAGGTAAACAGTGGAGGGGACACTTGGATCGAGTTGATGATCCAGTATCACATTAACGGCGAAATGGGACATGGATAACCTTACAAAACTGATCAGATATCTAGACACACAACTTACGTTCAAGATGCCCAAACCCTCGAGCCACCGAGTTGGAGAAGAAGTCTGGTCTTCGCGGGATTTTTGTTGCTCCAGTTCGTTACTCTCTTCAGAGCTCTCTGTAGACGATTTGCTGGAGGCCTGATTGCTCCTGAAAATGTTTCGCACAGCCCTCAACGCAGAGGATAATCCGTGTGGAGAAGTGCTTGCCTGTGCGCATGAAGAGTCCGAATCAGCGGCCTCCCGTTCCTGATTTAGCTCAGCCTCCGGTACACACGATGGGTCAATGTGATAAAAATGGCGAAGATCATCAATGCCACTTGAAAGCTGTACAAGTGGTGCCCTGGGAGGAGAACTGACCGACGGTGGTGTCTTCGCTTTCCGATGCACCCTTGAAGCGAGCACGGATGAAGAGAGCACCTTCAAAGAAAGCACGATAACACAGTGAACGGAAACGATGGCTTGCATATATCTATGACACTACAGGTAGACAAGTACATGTTGAAAAATGAGGCACCTCTCAGATTTGCGCTCTTAGGCATAATAAAGTATATGAACATGGTAAACGGACTAGAATAACAAACCCAGATAGTCAAAGTCAATAGTCCAGACATGGACAAAACAGAACTTGGGGAACAAATTACGATATAGTATCATGAGGAAGAAAAGGTGAGTCTCCACAAATTAAGCTGCAGTTACAAATGGAAGGATATCTCCGTTCAAAGCTCAAGACTTGCCAGAGATAACTTCTAACTGCCATTATGTAGCTTGTTACTGGAGTCTGATAAAGAAGGGCAGCACTCACATTGCTATGCATGCCATCCTCAATCGATTCCCATATGAGGGGCTGACACAAAAATGAAGCCAACTACGAAACGGTCGTAACCAAAAAGTGACCAAATCGGATGGCGGAGGCCGCGGATAAGCGTCTAGAGGCAAGGTCGTATCCAAACTGAAAATGCGTCGAAATCTGAACACACAACGAGTAATCCATGCAACAAACACCATAGAATGGGTGATCTTGTTAGATCAAAAAAGCGCATACGTGATAACTCACCGATTCATGAAGAACCAAAACAGTACCATAAAACTCTAGGCCGCCCAAAGCAAGTTCACCGGTTCCACAAGCGTTAGGTCCAGTGGCTTGGATTTTGAAGAATCGCCAACCTTGAGTTATGCGGTCACTATGGACAGTACGAGATGTGCGATTCGAGTCTAACACGACAGGTGGACTTGGCTTTGGTGCCGACTCCAGGCTCCAAGTGGCACGGCTGTCTGATACGGATTGTATACTTGTGTCGTCCACATGCGAACGTAAAACGGTCCATGAAATACCATCGTTCGATGCCTGAGGTAGATGGAAACAACAAGCCACGGAATAGTAAGACGATATGACAGATAAGCATAGTGAATAAGCGAAGTGCGCACGGAAAAACAGCTCTGCAACAAAGCGGAAACGTGAGCGCAACTGATAACAATAGTGTCGTCGATAACCGTCCAGTTTCCCATATGGCAAATTCGAGGAGTGTTTAATTGTCACGTTACGGGATTGGAATCTTTCGTCAAGCAACACAACCCAGATGTGTCTTTCCTCATAAAGCATACCCATGTAAGCCACACAGAACGCTGTAGCTAACTTAGCCACCCAAACGTTTTTCAGCCTAAGACAAGATGGAAGTTCCCTACTTGGATTAATAGCATTCGCACATAGTTATCAGATGAATGAACAACTGAAAAGTACTCGTAAGCAACAGCGGCGTGTAGCTGAAGGGCAACATGGATATCAGAAGTTGAGAATGTGATGAGTGGGGGATTCAGTAATTATGAAACATGTAATACGCTGAGTCCAAGAGTTGATTTTCGTTGGAGGAATATTGCACCTCTAGTGCAATGTTCGCTTTCTTGTAAAAATGACAACGCGAGTAAAGTTAACTAGATCAATAGCACATCGGTTCCCAGAGGGAAACGAAAAGTATTCAGTCAAATGGAAAAGGTATGGCGGAAGCAGAGATTCAAATGAAAAGCTGCGCGACGAATGGAGGATCCGAAGCGAACAGAACAGGGACCGAATCTACCAACTAAGCGCAGATAAAATAAGTGACAACGGGGAGCAAAGCCGACCAACTGGCGTTCATACCTAATAGACAGAAGGAAGCAGAAGGAAGTGTCACGGTGAGGCGGCAGTACATGTGTAAGAGCAAAACAAGCGATGAAGAAGGTAGATAAATCTTCTACTTTCTACAAAAATTACACTGCTCACAACATCTGGAGGACAAGTACTTCGGTTCATTGGGAAGTGATGAGTGAGTGAGCCAATCTGCAACACCAGGACAGATACTGGGAGCTTATTGGCAATAAGTTGCGAACCAAGCAGAAGTCGTGTATTAAAAAAATTGTGCACCTGATCGTCAGTCCTCGGTAGCTCAGTTGGTAAAGCAGCGGACCGGTAATCCGTACGTCCGGGGTTCCAGTCCCCGTCGAGGTTGATTATTGTGCAGTTTAATCGTGGCTTCTACGTTCGACAAAATTCTAGAAGTAGTCATGCTCGTCCGCCAATGAACATTGCACTCCACAAGAATTTGGGGAGACTTGCCAATCATGACATGAAATGCACACATTATAGACACAAAAGAATCCAGACAACGTGCTACGACGAGACAAATGAGTTATACCCCAGCGGTATGTTAGCCGTGCGCAAACCAACGACAACAGCTTAGCAATTGAATAATGACAAACATGCAGTTAATTTGGTAAGGAAGTGTCACCTAGCACTCTCATTTTCAAAAAAAACGGAGCATGAACAGGAATTCCTGTCCCTTCTTCATTCTCGTTGACTGTGGGTCGACAGTCCGCCGTATTTTCTGCTAGCCGGGCCAATCGTTGTTCGCATCGCGTTCCCGTCAGAGCGAGCAAGTTTCAAGCTACCCATCTAACCCAAGATATCACTTCCAGTTTAACGGCAAGCGTGCATGCGCTGTTTGACTGAGTTAGTGTCTGTTGACCCTAGGCGGAGATGTATCCTATCGGGCGCATCCCCAGGTTGCGGATGAGGGAACGCCTTTCTCACAAAGCTAACGGTAAGTCTCGTTTGTTTCACAGACGAGATGAATAACCTGTCGTGAACAATTACGGGCAGCGTCTCAGAGCGTGAGGAGTTTTGGACTAGTTACCTGCTTCCTAAATAAATACCACAAGAGCCTGTATGGCGCTGTCAAAACAAATTTGACCGGATATAGGGTCATAGAACCTTCATTTCAGCAATCAAGAGTAAGTACCTAACGGAATGCGGACAAACAATTTTATTGGCCACCATCTTCCGTATAGATTGCTATCGAAGATTACGAAAGCAAATGAGCCATCTGGCTGTCAACGGTGTTCGTATTAAGCGGATGATTGACGTCCCAAGAAACGCATTCTGACCTCTGTACTCCTATGCTCGGGCTGTTGGGACGTGCTGAGAAGCTTGTTCCTAATCAAAAGTCGTGTTACTGGCTCAAAACAGTCAGTGACATAACACTGATCGCCTCGCTGTCTTGCGGGTTAAGACCTTACAGCATAACGCTCTAGGTGGGACGTGGGTGGATTAACAGATGAGATCAATGTTCGCATCTTCGAAGCCAGAGTAGCTATTAAGAAACGTCCGGCATTCCTGACGTCTGTGTGAGTTTAGACATTCACTAAACACGAGTCTATAACGCTATGGCACAAGCAGTACTCCTTTATGGCTGCGATACCTGGCTCGTTCGAGCGTGCGATTACTACAGACTCGGTTTTGGATCATCGATGCTACCGGAGTATCGCTGATGTACGTCAGTAGCATCGCATTAGTAAGGACGATGTTCGCTGTCTGGTTATCAAGTCAGACAGACTCAGCCGACAAATGAACTGTATTATTTCCTTGCGTGCACTCCGTCGGCTTGGGTATGTCCTCCAAATATCTGCTCAACGGTTGCCCCGACGCGTTTTGTTTGTATGCGCCGGCGTTGATCGGAAGCGAAGGAAAGGTGACCAACACACAACCTCGATGGGGATGTAAAGGCACTAACATTGCGGTTTGCCACAGTGGGGCGATTTAGACTCCATGGTTAGGGGCCAAAGAACAGTGAGCACACTTGGTTGGAAACGCTATCGGAGATGACCCGGAATCGTATTCAACGGCCAAGGTGTCGTGCTATTCCTTTTCCCTGGCTGTTTTTCCCCTCATTTTGTGTTCTTTCTACGTGTTGTGGCACTCCGCCAATTGCATGTTGATCAAGTGTTGAATATATAAATACATATATTACAACAAAATACGCATTACATTTTATCGAAGTACTCTCCACCAGGGTTCATGGTAAGTTCCATACGCTCAAACCATTTGGAGAAGCAGCCAGACCATGCCGAAGCGGGTAACCCTTCAAGCAGATCAATAAAGGCCTCCACTGCAGCTTCTGGAAACTCATAGCGGATGTTACGCATCATGCGCTTGTCATTAAAACAAAAAAACAAAAAAGTCACACAGAGCCAGATCTGAACTGCAGGGTAGGTCACCAATCTCCTGGATGTATTCGCTAGCCAGAAAATCTACGACAACGTGGGACCTGTGTGCAGGTGGGTAGTCATGATGCAGCCAGGCCCCTCGTGCTCGAATCCTTGGACGACGCCTGACTACATCTTCAAGCACTTGTAGCATACCAGTCTCCGGTGACTGTGCGTTGCCGTACGAGCGGTACAGTAGCCACATGATCTGGCTTGACCACAAGCACAGCCACCATCTGCTTGGCCAGACTGCGCTCACGAGGAAATTCCTGAGGCGGCGCCCAGCAACGACCGTCCCTGAGCCGATTGTTGCTTGGCCTCTGGGGTGAGACTGTACACCTAGGTCCCATCACCACTGAGGATCTCCCAAATAGTATTGAAACGCCTACCATCAAACCTGGCACAGTGCAGCACCAATTTACCCGAGCTGCGTTTTGGTTCCCAATGAGCTGACAGGTTACCCAGTGTGCGCAAACTATTTGAGGCCGAGATTCTCATGCAAGAATTGTGCGGATTGATCCCGATGGCTTTCCCAGCTGTACCAGTCACGCGTGCGGGCTCCTTCAGCATCACTTGCACAGCAGCAATATTGTAAGCGGTGGTGGCTGTTGTATCAAAATGGCAACAGAAACAAAGCAGGATGTGAATCCGTACTCAATCAAGGTGTAGCGGCCTTAACACAGAATAAGTAATTTTAACCGTCCGGATTTTATACAACCAATGATAAGAGAGTCGTTGCGTTTCAGCCAGCCAGTGAAACGAGTGAGATATCGTGATAGATCGGCCATAACAACCGCTCGCACCTTGGAAGGGCCACGTCACGCGGGCTGGTATCGATCGACGGGCTTCGAAGATATGGTGGACCTGAGAAGCTGACTTCGCGGTAGCGGCGATTCGGCTTGCTGTTCACACAGTTTGAGACTGGGCCCATGAGCGGTGTGTAACCGACGTGCGTTATCGATTGGGCCGTTCTTCAACCGATAGTTCAATGGGCCTAGTCTCCGTGTGATTTGCAACGGTGCAGATATAGCTGGGAAGCATTTAGACGTAGTCCGTTTCCTTAACCCGAACGTATGCTCCAGGCTGTATAGATGATCTGGTGTGGGAATTTGGATAAAGTGCTATGCGATTTGAAACTTCGGCATGCCCCGCAAAGGATAGCTTATGTGTAACATTCCGTTTGGTGTGTAAGGGCCTTTCTAACATCAACTCCACCGGCGTTCTTCTGGTGTCCATGTGACCACAAGCTCTGTAAGGAAATACAGCAGCTAAGACAGCATCTTCCTAGTCTGGTCCTCATAATTGGACGGTCTGCATGGCTTCCATGAAGGACCGGTTTAGCCGATCGATCATGGCAGTGGCCGCAGGGTTGCAAGGTGTAGTGCTGGAATGTTTTATGTTATGGCACCGGAAGAAAACTGCGAGGTCGTGGCTACAATATTGTGGTAAATTGTCCGTGACTATTTCTTTCGGTAAACCGAAACGAGTGAACAAGTGTTCAAGCCAGCGTAACACAGCCGAAGTAGTCACTTGGTCGCATGTGTGGACTTCAGACCATTTAAAGTAAAAACAGGTAGCTACAAGTAAAGTTCTTTTATTCGTAACAACGATGGCAAAAGGGCCCATAATAGCAATGGTGATCTTTGCCAACGGCCTCATCGGGTAAGTAATAGGCTGTATTGGGGATTCGACCAGTAGATGACTTTTGTCCGGTAAACGGCAAGGGTTCATCACAAATGTCTCAATGCTGGATTCCATTCGTGGCCATCAAAAGTAATGTTTCGCTCGGTTTTTGGTCCGAACGATACCCAGGTGTCCCTCAGGTGCACAAGCAAGTAGTTTGTTTATCAACTGACATGGAGCTACAAACACCGAACCACGTACCAGACAACCACCTATCACTGACAGTTCACCCCGAATTGCGTAATATGGAACGAACTCGTCGGGGACTGAGTTGTTCTTGGGCCACCCTTGTTGCACATACTTGTTGAGTTATGCTGTAACGGGGGGTTGGCATTTTCCATACGTAATTCCTCGATCGTCAAAGCAGTTAGATCGGAGCCAAGGCTGGAAACTAATAGTGCCTCTCTGGGTCTCTCCTTTTCATCACCCAGCCCCACGGGTAACAGAGATAATCCATCAGCAATTTGGTTTCACAAACCCGGGCGGCACACAACTTAAAAAACATAATCAAGGAGTCTAGAATACCAACGATCGATCCATATTGGATGCGAGTCTTTAGATCCATTGCTAATAAGGACAGTAGGAGCTGATTAATCAGGCTGTAGAGTGAAACAAAGACCGGACAGGAAGATGTGCCATTTTGCACAAGCCCACACACAAGCGAGAGCTTCATTCTCCCCAACTAAATAATGGCGCTCAGAATCTGAGAGCTTGAGGGAGGCGTATGCAACAACTCTCTCCTCTAAGTTTTGTAGCGGTGAGAGAACAGCACCGAGACCAACATCAGACGCAGCAGTCGACACAAAAGTGCTGCATGCTTCATCAAAAATGGCAACTAAGGGAGCAGATGCAACGCTTCTTTTCAGTTCATCGAAAGCATTTTGCTGGTCGCTTCTCAAAATGAACGACACTTCTTTCTTTGTTAGTTGACGTAATGGATTTATTATGATTGTAAAATTTCAAAAACAACGCAGATTGAAGGAACACATTCCCAAAAAAGACTTCAGTTCGGTTACGTTCTTCGGTGTTGATGCTTCTGTGATGGCCCGGATGTTTTCGTTGCTTGGACGAATGCCGCCACGCGATACGACGTGTCCTAGAAACTGAATCTCGGGAGCAATAAAGAGAATTTTTGCATTCAGACGTAAATCAGTATTACTGAGACGCCGGAGGACATTGTGGAACTTTTCATCACCTTCCTCTTGTGAGCGACCGAAAACACATATTATCCATGTATGCAACCTGCCCCTCAATATTGCTAAGGCATAAGTCATGAACATTTGCAGACGCAGAACTCACACTTGTTGGCAACACTTTGTACTGAAATAAGTCATCGGGAGCAAGGAAGGCAGTAACATGCTGCGAATCGTTCGCCAATGGTGTATGGAAAAAATTGCACATTTCCAATATAGTCTGGAAAATACGGTTGTACCAACTAAACGTACAGAGTGAGTTCCTCGTTGGATGGCAACACGAACCGCTCGGCAAATCGTTACATATCCTGACAGTGTCGTCATTTTGCAGGACACTTACCATTGGATGCATCCACTCAGAGCACTTGAGGGGTTCAAGCAAATCATTTGCTAGCATCTCTTGCAGGGCCGTTGAGACAGCTTGACGTTTTGCTATCGGAATAGGCAATGGAGTTTTGCATCCCGCTTCAGCTGAATGTGGTGCACACCACATGGAGTACGTTCGATGGACTGCTGAAAAAGCTTAGGATAACATTCAATGCAGAAGGCTATGTTGACAAAAGAGATAAACATGCGGTCGAAAGATGATGCTACTTGCAAAGGCACCATGGCTTCTTTCAAGTGAGGGTGATCATTTCCGGAAGAAGTATGTACTGCAACATCCGCAGCTATTGAAGGTGGATGTAAAGACACGATAATGAATCCCAATGTGGTTAAAGTATTTCCACTGTAACTCAAAAATGAATGCGAAGTAGGCTGTAAAGCATGCTGGGATAGGTAGCGTAGATAAAATTGGAAAAATACAATGGTAACTAGAGAAGCAAAATCTAGCTCCATTTCAAGTGGAACAGCGCCTTGGATGGTAAGGAATGACACAGTACGAATATCAGTGGAGGGAAATGTTTGTTCAACAACGGATATTGTTAGGCCTTTTGAAGTGTTGGCATTAGCGGTGATGAAGCAAATGTTTTCTTGAGAGGAATCAGCAACATGGCCTTCAGATGTAGCATCGTGATTGATAAGTGTGATGGCTTGCGACCGACAACATCAGGCGTAATGCACAAACTTGCTCGTTTTTGCACTTAAGGCTACGTGAAAGACAAGTGGGAAAGTTTACTTTATGAGAAACACATCCACAGAGATAGTAACATGGCTTTTCACTGGTAATTGTTGGAAAAACTGCACCTTTGCCACTTCAGCTGAGTTGGTCGAACAGAACCGTTTCGATTGCCGTGGAATCTCAGTTTCCATTTTGGCTAACTCGCAAGCTCGCTCCCACATTAATGTGCACGCAACAGTGCCTCACGTATACGAATGTCAGCGACTCCAGAAATCAATTGATGAGTCAGCATACAGCCTTTGACCTTGTACAGGGAATGGACGAATAAGCACACGGGTCGTACTGCGCGACTTAACCGGGAAATGAAATAGTTCAAATGTTCACCTGTTTCCTGATACATGCGGGAGAAAACGTATCTTGCAGTAAACACATTCATTTGCTAACCCGATGTACAAAAGAGAGCGTTGAAAGCTTCTTTAACGGGTTTACATCACTGAAGATCTAAACCATCAAAGTGCCGTTGCCCCTCATCCCCGAGTAATTGTCGAAGCAGCTCCAGTCTGCTTTCTACACTAAAAGCAGAATGGAAGTCGCTGATTAAATCCAAGTAGTTTTAAAAGAATGTTTTCCAACGAAGCCACACATCCGATATGGTACTGCGGACGCAATGACTCAAAAATGAAGATGGAGGTGAATGAATAGGTTCATCTTTGGGTTCGCGACGCCAAATGTTGTAGCAAGGCGACAGAAGAAAGCAGGATGTGTATCCGTACTCAACCAGGATGTAACAGACGCACAACACAGTATAACCAATTTTAACCGTCCAGATTTTATACAACCAATGAGAAGAGAGTCGCCGGGTTTGAGCCAGCCAATGAAACGTGAGTGGGGGCATCATGATAGATCAGTCATAACAGTGGCCTCCACAGATCGACAACACCGTGTCTCATCATCCAGGGACCGCCTTCCGCGTTTGAATTTCGCAGACCACTCATACACGGTGTTTCTTGAAGGAGCATCATCACCAAACGCAGCAAGCAATCTCTCAACACGGTGGAGCTGTTCTGAACCACATTTGGTTATATAAAATCATCGCCCTGCAGCGACATGGACTGAGTTCTACACTTACAGTCAGAGTGTAGCAACTCTTATGACTTGTGAGCTGTGCTGGGATGCTGATATAGGGTTTTGTGAGTTGAAATCACTGAACAATGTTCAGAAGAGATTAGAGTTCACATCTATCTTAGAGCACAACCGTTATCATGGGTACAGTGAGGAATGAGCACATGGATTGGGAGTTTGGGACTCCCCTTCAGTGGCGCTTGTTTTGCTTGCGTGTGGTAGATAAAGGATCAATGCGTGGGCAAACTTAAGTAACCGTAGCAGAGATAATATATAATGCGTGAAGAGGAGCTGAACAACTTACCTCGAGATTCCAATTCCTCGGAGCTAAGGGAGAAGAGCGGGCCTCTGCCTGACGCAAGTACGCTAAACTGTAGGCCGTCGGTTGCAATTGCAGACCCAAATCAATGGCTAACCAAGCTTTTTCGCTGTGATTTGATGCACCATCATCTCGAGGTCCGCATTTCCCTTTGATCGACTGACCACCCTCATCGCTCCGGTTGGCGTTGCATGTGCGTCGCGGCTTAGCGAAGGTTCCAATTCCCATGCAACGGACTGGGTAGCCACCGATGAGCGCGCCAGCACGAGGTCCGAGGAGACAAGCGGGTTGACTTCCCATGGAGCTCGCCACGCTCACCAGACCGATCAAAGCCGGATTGACCCAATCTTCGATGGGTAAACAGCCACCATTTGTAGCCAACCAATCAATGACGCCGCCTAAGGAGTCGCTGGCATTGGTGCTGTTGGTTTCCGGTGGCGCAGGGAACGTGATTCCTCGGTCACCCTGCTGGTCTAACTGCAGCCAGTGACAAAGACTAGTCCGAGGGTTATCATACCTAGGAAAGCAAAGGAGTGATAACACATAATAGGAAGCAGCAGTACTAAAGAAGCAACATTGCTACTATGCAGATCGGGTATGATTTGGCGGCGTCCGTATCCGGATTTGCCTGTCACTGTGACCTCCATGGGGACAGTCACAGGACGCAGATGGGGTATACGTACATAATAATTCACAGTAGGCAATTGAAAAAAACAAAACAGAACATGTAAGAAGCAACTACTCTTAAATATGAGAGTTAACACGTTAATTACACCTAACAAATAAGGTTGAGCGTGAACAAGTATATCGTTAATTTGGCAAAGCGCTTCTGAAAATCTACAGACTGAATATAGCCTGTCAGAACAGCATGGCCCGCAATTTATTTAACGCAACGCGATACAATTTGCTCCGCAAAGAGGACGTGGATAAACGTGCGCCGAACCAAGCAGTGAATAAGATGGATCTACGCCTTGACTGGTCGGCCGGTGGCCGAGTGGTCTGCGCGCCTGGTTTACAACCATAAGGTCACCGGTTCGAATCAGCGTAGGGGTGGGCGTCCTAGCAGTATACTCGGTCCGCGCGTGACCGGTGGTGGTCGCTAGGCAGCGAAGCGCCGTTACGACGTACGGCTGACACACTGTTATTTTTCATTACGCTTTGACTGCAAGGGTGCACATCACTGCGTCGGCCCACTGCCTAACACGTGGTATTTCATTTTGACCTTCGAAGCGGCAAATCCAATCGGATAGAGGGTAAACCAGAGGCTGATAACGAACGGTGCATCACAATCGTGAAGCTTGCAGTCCTGTTAATATTGTCATTGATGCCGCATCTTCGAAAGACCGTTGTGAACTTTCTTGTCCCTCCCCCACACACTTATATTTCCCCTTCAACCGCCACCCCATACCCGATGCATAATATAGTATTTACATTGTATTACTTGCTATTTAATAATTTTGTAGTCTGGAATGTTTGGTATCTTACTGTATCGCGGCACATTAGCTATCTGTTTCTCACTCTCAACAAACGATGAGGAGGATGACTCTCGACAGAGCACTAGTTTAAAATCCCTAACTAACTAATGAGTAGACTATCACCAAATCGAACCGCCAGAAGAGGGAATATGGGGTTTGCTACGTAACTACGCAGCACATCAATATTCATGTGTCATTCGGTTGGACAAAGTAGCAAAATCCGAGATACTGAGCTTGTGTAAAAATTACCCCAAGGATAGCTGATCAGCTAATGGAAATGGCGCGCTGATCTAGTAAGATACGCAACCAAGAAAAAGGCAACCGTGTTGAAACCCAGTGGTGGACTGGCACAGTGCATCGTGGAGCGGTCAATGCAGCGGCTGGACACCCAATCAGAATCGTCAGTTGATCATATCGGCCCGGATTCCCATGGTGTTACAGTAGCTCAACCTCGAATTCCGTTGGGTAAATAATCAAAGCACAGAATTGTGCTTACTGATCCACATTTGTGATTCAACTTGTGATGTGGGATAGCTTATAGACCATTGTCCTATAAAACAGTCGAAAAGCGGAACAAAACTCTTATCAATGAGAGTGACGATGACAAAAAACAGAAAGGACTAGAAAGACGTTCTTAGGGAACTAAGCAAAGTAAACGAAACACATTTAAACATAAAGTCAAATAACGAATGATAAAAGCAGCATTAGTCCGCGGTACACAAGTCGCTGCGCCAAGGTAGATGTGCGATTTTCCGACACATTTCACATGAAACAGGTCGATGCCAACAAAAGCTTTTATAAAAAAACAGTAGTGGGGAGATAAAGCCAATGGAAAAATGCGACAATTGATGTATCCAACATAATTCATCCAGTGTTCACTGCTAACATACTCATGACTATTGGATCTAACAATCATGCCAACTGGGGAAATTAAGAAAAACGAGAGAGAAGGAAAGAAATGTGAATAGAAGTTCGTGAGTGATATCTACGCACCATTGCTTAGCGGACATCTTGAATAGAAAGGATTCTATTTGGGCACATGTGGCAAGCGGATTGACGCGAAGGTTGGTATTGCTCCAGTCAATTAAGTTATCCGACTCGAGTGTGCTACTCGCATGGGGTAGTTTCTGAAGAGTTACACTTATTCGACCTTCCAACTGTTTCATCGCGTTATCATCTGGCACTATCAGCTGCGAACAAAACGTTGTCAAGGCTGCTACTTCAGTTGCATCCAAGCAATCCGCGAAAAGATGAGCTTCGTTCAAACCCAGAGAGGTCACCGAGCTGCTACGACGTTCCACATGCGAAGTGTTCACGGACCGGATGACACCAAGTGGAAAACCTGCAAGTACGAAGTCTTCGTATCGAAAGGGCCTCACATCCTCCACACTGGTGTTCGGCGTCTGAAGAGAGGCCGAAGGATCCGGGCGCGAGTTCTTGTCCGACATGCCAGATGCAAGAGAGAACAATCGAAGCGGTAAGTGTTCCACCATCTCGAATGTTTGAACCAAACGCCTCGAAAGGCGGCTTAAGCATGTTAAGCCGGGTCCGTGTAAAAAGTGACGTGCGAAGACGCGGCGTCGCTCGTGCAAGTACCAAAGGGAGGCAGTCATTACATCCAAACCGGCAGGTATTGTCTGTGGGGAGGGATAATGAAAAAAAAATGAAACGGTAGAATAAACTGTATTTGTACAACCGCAGCTAAAGACTGTGCATAGTTGTATTCAAGCCAGACTGCGACAAAATGGTGCACGAGAGTTTCCGATACAGGAGACACGTGTCACGGCCGCCGAGCAAGTTAGGTTTGAAAATAGGGCTTCGCTAAGAGACTTTACGGTAGTGGTACATACAGTGAACAAAGCGTACAAAAATAACTCTATACATGTCCATGGAATTGTGAGCAATATCATAAAGACTAATTGCCGTAGTTGTAGGACTAGTCAAAGCCAACAACGGCGTAAATAGAACAGACGGGGCGAATCCATGGAACGCGTGGTGACCCCCTGTGAATCTTGCGAATGGGTCCGAAAGTGCGATTAAGTCTTCCTACCACTGCAGCATCACCAAGACGGTGCTCAATGAGTCATCTAAAAGAGCTTCTGTCAACGGATTACCTAAAATGATAGCTCGAACTGAAAGGGTAAATGTCACTTAATCGACGCGTTCTTGTTACGAGTATCATCCATGTTCGGTATAAAAAGTTACACTTAGCCTGAGAAAGCTGTTGTGTCAAAAGCGCAGGGTAACTCAGCAAATGCACCATCTGATTGCCTCCAACTCTCGTTGGAATGGTGACTTCCCGGTTGACACTGTATGGGGGACACAAGAGACCACCAAACCATGGGGACTGGACAAGTGTATCTAAGAGCAAAGATAAAAACAGAGGAGAAACAAGAGATTACAACCTAATGGGACAGCGGCACAATTGGAGGGGGAAATACAGTCCAGATATTAGACAGATGCAACTGAATGATCGAAGTATCAGGTGTCGATTTCATGGCTACAGTGATAAAGATGTGGACGTACAAAGCATCAGAGAGCGGGGGCGGCGAGTAGTTCGAAACGAGACCAGGAAGCACTCTACTTGCCAGTGTCGGCCGATGAATCGCTGATGTATGTATGCAAATGCGCGCATGAGGCAAATACAATAATGAAAAACGCGACGTACAACGAAAGTGATTTGATCCTCACACATACCGGGCAATTCCAACGACCTGCCTGGTCGGCTGACAGGCACAGTAGGAGGGCTGGAACCAGTCCACTGACAGACAGTTCGTAAGCAGTCATAGACTGTTCACCAGAGGCCAACAAACTCGCCATCTGTGCGAACGCATTTGACAATAAATCCAAGGTTTTCGAAGATTGCGATAATATGTCACCATCGAAAGCACGCCAAACATCTGCGACTATTGCTCGTAGTATCTTAAAAGTGCAACAAGGATCCGACTTGATTGAAGAGTTGGGTCCGGTTTTCAGAAGCCATAAAATACGTTTTGATAACTTCAAAGCCTGGTATCGAACAGAATAAAGTTGGTGCCGTTCTCTTTCCCGTTGGTCCTTTTCCCTTAAAAAGTATGTGAGAACGAGCATAAAGTGAGCCGGTGCCGGTGAGAAAATGTGTGGCAAGATAAGAGGCAATAAAACTCCTTAACTGGGGTCATCTCTTTTAAAGGAAAAGTGCATGTAGGGAATCATGGACCCCAGTACAATGCCGGCTAAGCATAAAATCATACGGACGGTCCAAGTACTGAATAGAGAGTCCAGGTAAATCTACTTAGACATAACTGCTTCAGTGCGCAAGGAACCGATGCCTAAAGCAGCTAAAATGCACCGATCTAGTTGAGCAATCAAGTGGAATGATAAACTAGCTTGTAAAATTTTGATGAAACAAATGATCGCCAATATCCGTGACACATAAATTTCTCAATGGGAACAGGGAGCTACGAAGACGTATAAAGTGAGAGACACATTTGATGCGCTTATACTTAACCAGCACAAAAAGGAAAATTATAAGGATGACTCGAAGTGGAGGAATTCAAGTGTTTTAGTTATAATAGACAGAAGAACAACCGAGACAATTACCGCTTTTCCTAAAAGTCACTGCAAATCTGTTTCACCAGGTCGGAGCACGTGGAATGAATGACTCCCACTGGCTGGGGAGGGGAGATGGGAACACGTGAATTAAGTAACAACAATCCAAGGACAAGTGGGGACGCAGACAGCTGACATGGTCAAGCGATCTGATGTGATATAGTGAAGCTCACACTACATTTCCAAGGCGTTACTAAGGCACACGAAAGAAAGCTGAACTCTGGGATAATGACCTCCAGCCATGGGTCACTTAGAAAGTCGTCAGCCGTATCTCGATACGCGGTACACTGACAATTTACTGCCACCCGATCACCACCATCAGTTGCACGCGGCGTAGGAAGGTTACGAGGTTGCCCTCATTTACATAGATTAGAACCGGTGGCTATTGGGTTGCAAAGTAGACGCCTCATCCGTTCGGTCACCGGTCGACACTGAGAAACTCACATAGGCACAGACTAGGTCTTATAAGTTTCGGATGCGTTACCTAGAAGTAGAGAACAAACAAATGACGCAAACAAGGCTAAAGTTGAATTCCGTACGTTGTCTTGCAGTGAAATGCATAGCGGATCATAGAGCGGGCACTAGCTGTCAAGTGAGACCAGCTAGAGTGGTCTTATAGCTATCAGCTAAGAGCTTTCAATGACGACAATGATTTAGCGACTAGACGCCAATCGCCCATTTCGTAAGCCTTGTGGAGCAACACTATCAAATAGGATGACATAAAGGAGAACAGCAACACGAATAGTGACACCCCACCAACAGCAACCGATAGGAATACTGAATATAAAGAGCTAGATATCCCTTCTGCGTTGTTTCATCTTAGTTAGCACAGGCATGTACTGGGAGTCATGTCATTGATTTCGGTGCGTTTGCAGAATACAACAGCTGCGCCATAAGCTATTCGAGTGCGATGTGATCTCTAAATCTGAGAACCGCAAATTGGGTGCGTAGGAACTGTTTAGATTCTGACGCCGATTTCGCCTCAACTATTTTATCGGGCAAACTGTACCAATATTACACCACTCGCAGCTCGAAGCAAAGAGAATGAGCTATCCGCTATCCGGGACTATTACTGTGTGTGTCGGTGACCGCGAGTATTGCTTGGTGCGCGCACGTGCAGCAATGGCGTTAGCGAGGGAAGTGACCCAGAGGTAATATCCGGTCCCTAATAGGATTCCACTCGAACCCGACAGGGTGAACAATCCCAGCCGTTTACGACATAACCGCAAATTGGGGAAGTGTTTGATAGCTACATGCTGAATCCGTTCCTGGCTCTGCCCCTCGCCACAGGTGATCGGATAACACGCGGATGGTTCATACTCGATCATCGGTCTTGTGATGGAAGAGAAGAGGTGAGTGGCAATATCTTGAGAGCAGCGTTTCAGCATCCAAAGCATGTGCAGTCCGGTATGATATACCTTGTTCGTGTTATCTACGGACTTCAAATCGCAGCGTGAGAGTATGCCGAGATCTTTCACGGGTGCGGGTCGGCCAGAGCGTACTTACGCCCATCACCACTCTTCCCCAAGCTCATAGATAACGATTTGACTGGGTTGATAGGCACATCGATCCCTGGAAACTACATGGACAGGAGGTCGAGATCATGCTGGAGTACGTCGCAGTCATCGAGAGCATCAATTACTCTCCGAATCTTCGGGTCGTTTGAAAACAAGGAAGAAAGCAAACGATGAACTTAAGGTACATTGTTTATGTGGAGCACGAACAGAATGGGCCCCAGTAATGTGCCCTGGGGTATGCCAATATTGTAAGAATACCAATCCACTAAACGGTCAAAAAACCTGTACCCTCAATTTTCGCCTAATGAGGAAGGCACTGATCCAGTGGTGTACTGAGCCATTAACAGCGCATATCTTCAGCTTGCTGAGGAGGACCTCATGGTTCATTTTGTCAACGCTTCAATGGAAGCAATGTAGATCACATCCAGCGACTTCCACGGACTCGACACTTGCAACGATGCATGCCGCGTCAAAAGGAAGTTGATGATACAGCAGCGGCGTTCATAAAGCCGTAATGTGCGGGCGTCAGGTTTTCGACCCCAGAAGTTGCAGTAGACCCATTTTCACCATCATCTCGAGTACTTTGGCCAATAAGGAAGTTAGACAAATCGGCTTGTAATTGCCCACCTTACTTGGATCACCGCTTTTCGGAATCAGTTTCACGCCCGAGTATGGGGTTGCATACCGCTTATCGGTAAAAATACGAGCTTATTTATTTATTTACCATTTATTTTCAATCGCTCGGAAATGCACCGTCAGACAGCGATCTGTTGTACAGCTCAGTCATAGAGGGCGATATAATGGCCTACAATAACTTGAGAATCAGCGAGTGGAGCCCATCAGAACCGACAGGCTTCGTGTTGTCAAGTAGATTGTGAACATCTTCCACGTCGCAATTCAGGCACAATTCAGGCATGGGCTGCACACGTGGAGAATGGCATAGACGTATACGCACTTGCAAATACAGAAGGGAGTGCGTCGAGAACACAGGCGCAGATTTAGCGCTGGAAGTCAGAGGCAGTCCTCTAACACTGCTATGTCGCTTGAAGGCCTCAGACATCGCTTCAAGTATGCGAAAATTCGACTGGGGGCCGCTTTCGCTGCGGTTTAAAACTCCTGTTCGAACTGCTGATGCTTCTGTGCTTTCACGCTGCTGCATAGATTCCGTTGCCTTTTGCATGACACTTAATCGTCGACCGAGTCAAACAGGAGGGATTTATTCCACATTGCACGTCGCCGTCGAGCCAACTGGCCATAGTCTTCGTCGAACCAATATGGCTCCACTAACCAAAGTTTGCGATACTTGAGAGCTACGGCTTGAGCGCACAGCGATTTCATACCCACTTCTATGATAGATCAATGGACTTCAACAGATAAATCCTGTGGCAGCGACCAGTCCCGCTGACTAGCGCATCGAATGAGACCATCGAAGTCAGTCTTCCAGTAGTTGTAAGATGGCTCCAGCGGACGCGAGTATGGTAGAGCCCAGTGTCTTCAAATCCATCACCAAGACTGCGTCCATTCAGAGGGACACCTAGGTGTAACAACTAAATGGCGACTGATGTTGTACTGTCCCTGAATATATGGTCGGGTTAAACGAGTGAACGCGGGCTATCTAATGCATGACATAGCAATATGACATGTCCGGTATGCGTGAGCACCAGCGCCTGAAGACTGACCCCAGCATAAAATGGAATACAGCAAGGTCATAACACTCCTTGGAGCACTTCTGATTCTCTTAATTTGTAAAATGATATTGCGTTAGTAATGTATTCGAAAAAATCGTGCCCACTGTCTGAAAGCCTCCGAACTTTATTCATCCCAGTTTAAACTGGATGTGGAAAAGGTGAATAAAGCTGTAGGCACTACGGTGCAAGTTATCCAGGGCCCCTCTGTAACCGCAAACATCTTGTGGCCGTCAAGTGGCACTACAATAGACACTGTCGAAAAGCATATTCAATTTCATGCAATTAATTATGATTGGGGCAACGAAGTGTTGCAGGGACATGCGTTTATTCAGCAAACACAGCTCAGCGAAAATTACAGCATGTTTAGCAAGCCAAACTCCTCGATATAAATTACAGGTTCAAGTCCATAACTAACGACCCTTCTGAGTCGATGAGGTTCATCCTTTGCTTCAGTTAAACAAACGGTGAACCACTCACACGAATATCGGTCAACCCGAGCCCAGTAATCGAATCCGTCATGTCCGTCTCCCATGGACGTGGTGGGTTTCCGCCCGGCAAGCGTTACCCCGAGAAAAGCCGAAAAATGTCCGCTTAATAACACTAGGACGTGGTGGATGTGACTCGCCACTGAATAAAGTCACAGCCCACCAGTTCACAAGCGGGCAGTTTTCAAACTTTTACATGCAACCTGTGCAACTGATTTTGACATGGAGAATGATTTGATGGAGCACCGAACATTCCGAGCCTTTCATGGACAACGATTGCAGCGAAATTTTACTCTGACTTATGTACTTCTGGATTATCACATGGCGAAATCACGACGAAGTTGAATATTGACACAACTGTCATGACTGCTTTTTCCGCGCCTCAGCGCCACCATGTTCCTGGGTCGGACCACTACCTGACAAAATGCTCATCCGTATGAACTACGAACATTTCGGTTATACCTTGCATTGCAACGAAATGTTTTACTATCCCAAAGCAGCTATGTTTGTGCGCATATTTGATCACGTCTTTACCGGTGTGCCTCGTTTGCCTGAGAATATACCACTTATTTAGTTGCTTGTTGGCTGTCTGGTTCGCTCGGTTGGTCCATCTGCTCACTCAGATCACATACTGTCATCACATCTACCCATTTTTCGTGTTCTTGCACCTCCATATTGCTATCCACCCGGTACACCTTACCACTTCGCGTCATCTTCTCTGTATCTGCGGCCGTGGTCTCCTTACCACATGCCATATGTAACTTCACTCCCAATCCACATTGT